ATATGGGAACAACAGCTGCTGGCTCACTCTCACTTCCATTTCCTGGCTGTTGTGCTCCTCTATTTTGAGCAGGCAATGGCCTCTAAACCAGCACCAGGTGCCAGGAAACCACTCAGCTCAGTTTGCAAATGCTGGAGTCACAGCTCTGGGATGGACATCACCCGTGTTCAACAGCATTCTATGGAAAACAACAGCTCTGATTCCCTCCACAGCAGCAGCGAAGTGGGATCTGGTGGTGGCAAGAGCAGTTTCCACATTGAAAGGTTTGCCTGTGCCATGCTGGTGACCAAGTGAGACAAGGGTGACCATGATACACCAGAAGGGGTGCTGGCTGGGTTGGATGCTGGGGACCAGAGTCCAGAAGGTGATGGCAGTGTGACACAAGTGGAGTTGGCAAGTTCTGGGATGCACCTGGGAGAGGGGATGTGGCTGTTGGTCCCAGAAGCCCAGGCAGGATGTGGGTCCTTACATCTCCCCAGCCTAGTGACCTGCCTTACCTGCTCTGCAGAGAGCTCTGCTCCTGTCACCCCCCAGTAGCACACTGGAGAAGGAGGCAGTGAGGGAATGGAAGCCCACAAAGCCAAAGACCAGCATGGGTGGCCCATGTGCCCCTCACACCTGGGGTGGGAGCACAGGGGCACACAGGAAGGACAGAGAGTCTGTACGCACATGAACATGTCAAAGGGCACAGCCCTGCCCACCTTCTCTCCAACACAGTCCCCATAAAGACCCTTTTGGGACGTTCCTCCCCTCCAGGCCACTCTGCACCCCAGGTTCAAGGGCAGCCTGGGGGTCCAGCTGGGAGTGACACATCTCCCTGGCAGGGCAGGCGCAGGGACTCAGCCCACGCTGGCTGTGCTCCCTGGGCTGCTGCTGCCTGACTTTCCACCCAGCCCCATCTGGATCTCATCGGGCTGCTGGCGCTGAGCACCGGGGTCGGGAGGTGCCAACACATGGAAGCCATTAGAGGGGCTGGGCTGAGGTGCGAGGAGGGGGCCACATGCTGAGCAACGGGGGCTGTGCAGAGGGTCCTGTCCCTGCTGCCAGGCTGGTGAAGGCAGGGGAGATGTCCCAGGCAGCTGCCTGCCTCCTGCTCTGCAGCAGCATGAACTGGCCTGGGCAAGAGTCTCTGAGCCCCTTCATGCTCCTGGGGACCACAATTACCTGTATGGGGACCAGCCCTGAGCACTTCCTTCAATGGCTGTTCCCAAGCTGGCATCTCACCTATTGCCACTCATGTTTCCCCTGTCTCAGCACCACCTCCATCCTGGCAGTGCAGTGACAATGCTATCCCCTTTATTGGCATCACTGCTCCATCCAGCTGCAGCACAGCAGAGGGACAGGGTGGGTGGGTTCCCTTCTGCCTGCTGGTGGCTGGTGCAGAGATGACGGGCAGGGCTCAGCACCCGCTGGTCACTGATGCCCTCACCCCTGGGAGCCTGTAACCATGGTTCACCTCTGACACTAGGCAGTG